TGCTTATCTCTCTCTCACCTTTGCAAGAGAATTGTCAATTCATCAGTCTCAGACAAATTTTTTCAAAGAACCAACTTTTGGCTTTGTTGCTTGCTTTATATTTCCATAACTCATATTCTCATTTTTATTTTGTCTTTCCTTCTATGTTCTTGGTGTTCAATTTGTTGTTCTGTTTCTAATAACATTTTTAGCACCAATTTTCAGCCTTTCTTCTTTCAAAATAGTATATTTAAAGCTATAAATCTCCATTGATTAATACATTAGAAGTTTCCCATAGTTACATTTTCATAGTCATTAATTAGAAAGTTTTTTGATGATTTCTTTTGAATCCATTGATTACTTAGAGATTTCATTTTTATCTTCCAAGTAGATGAGAACTGTTGTTGTTTTTAAATACTTGCATGCTAGATCTTTTCCTTTTCTATCCTTTGACATTTAAACTTTCAGTATCCTCACGGTTTACAGGTTCCTTAGAAATCTTAGGCTTTAAAATATTGTGTTAATCAATTTATCTTTAATGTGAACTTACCAGATGACAATCTTTTAAAGTTTAACGGAATTCAATTAAGTTTTACGATTTTCAGATATGCTTTTCTATCTACCATCTAAGACCTTTCTATTTGTCTTGCCTTTCAGATAGTCCTATTTTTATCCTTTTTTACCATCTTTTGGATTGATTGACTTGTATTATTCTATTTTGCTCTTTCTACTGGTTTGGAAATTATATACCCCACTACTATTCTTTCAGTGGTTACCTTTGAAATTATAACCTGTTAGTTTGATTTATCAATGTATAATATTAAATATTGTTTTTATCCTCTTCTGACTTCACTACTTTTATATATAAATATATAAATATATATATATATATATATATTTTTTTTTTCTTTTGAGAAAGATCAGCCCTGAGCTAACAATCTGCCACCAATCCTCCTCTTTTTTGCTGAGAAAGACTGGCCCTGAGCTAACATCTGTGCCCATCTTCCTTTACTTTGTATGTGGGATGCCTGCCACAGCATGGCTTGATGAGTGGTGCATAAGTCCATGCTGGGGATCTGAATGGGTTAAGCCCAGGCTGCCAAAGGGGAATGTGCAAACTTAACTGCTGTGCCATCAGACCAGCCCCAGACTTCACTATTCTTTAAAATTGCTCTTTTTTTATTTTTATTTTTTTTTGCTGAAGAAGATTCACCCTGAGCTAACATCTGTTGCCAATTTTCCTCTTTTTGCTTGAGGAAGATTCACTCTGAGCTAACATTTGTGCCAGGCTTCCACTATTTTGTATGTGGGACGCCGCCACAGCATGGCTGCCAATGAGTCGTGTTGGTCTGCACCTGGGAACTGAACCTGGCCCCCTGAAGCAGAGTGTGCCGAACTTAACCACTAGCCCACCAGGCTGGCACCTTAAAATTGTTTATTCTTTCTTGTATCTCTGAACATTCTGGGTCTGCCTTTGTTTAATTCTTTCAGTTTTTATTTTTTCTAAAAATATCCTTAACTCTTCCTCACTCTTACAGGAGTTTCTTTTTATCATTTATAAAATTCTAGACTGGCAGTTATTTCATTTGAGCATGTTAAATATGTTATTTCACTGTCTTTGGACTTTAATTGCTGCTCCTTTGAAGGTAATTTGCCTTTTTACCTCTGGCTGCTTTTAAGATTCATACTTAGTCTTTATTTTACCAGTGTTTCACTATGATATGCCTAAGAGTAGTTTTATTTTTTTTCTACTTAGCCTTTGCACTTTTTTTTTTTAACAAAAGTCACATTTACAGACAGAAAGATTCGTCCTTATTAGATGTACATGTCTGCGAATGTGTAGGAAAACACGCAGTCCTGTCTGTCAACAGCACCACAGGCCCCTTTCCAGTCTTCTGTGGTCTGAATGTTTGTGTCCCCCCAAAATTCATACATTGAAATCCTAATCCCCAAGGTCATTGTGTCGGGAGGTGATCAGGTCAGGAGGGCTGAGCCCTCATGAGTGGGATTAGTGCCTTCATAACAGAGACCCTAGAGAGCTCCCTCGCCCCTTCTGCCACGTGAGGACAGTGAGAAGCTGGCTGCTGGCAGTCTGCAACCTGGAAGAGAGCCCTCACCAGAACGTGACCATGCTGGCACCGTGATCTTGAACTTCCAGCCTCCAGAATTGTGAGCAATAAGTTTCTGCTGTGTATCGTCACCCAGTCTGTGGCATCTTGGTACAGCAGTGTGAATGGACTAAACAGCAGTCCCTTCCCTGCCCCTGTAGCCAGCCTCTGGCAACCACGCATCTGTTTTCTCTCCCTACAGTTTTGCCTTTTCATAAATGGAATCATACCTATAGTCTTATTTTATTTATTTTTCGTGAGAAAAATTGGCCCAGAGCTAACATCTGTTGCCAACCTTCTTTTTTTTGCTTGAGGAAGATTGTTGCTGAGCTAAAATCTGTACCAATCTTCCTCTATTTTGTATGTGGGATGCTGCCACAGCATGGCTTGATGAGTGGTGTGTAGGTCTGGGCCAGAGATCCAAACCCATGAACCCCAAGTCACTGAAACGGAGTATGCAAACTCAACCGCTATGCCACCAGGCCAGCCACATACCTATAGTCTTTTGATTCTTTTTTCACTTGGTGCAATGTGTCTGAGATTCACCCATTTTGTCGTGTGTAATCGTAGTTCCTCATTTTTTGTTGCAGAGTTTTTCCATGTGCTAGTCAGACTGCAAAATGGCCCCCAATGAGTCCACCTCTAGGCTCTCAAATTGCACGTAATCCACTCCCATTGAGTGGACCAGACAGATAACTCACTTCCAACAGAATGTGACAGAAGTGCTGGATGTCCTGTTTGAGAGTGGGCTGTGTAAAGACCGTGGCTTCCATCATGAATGCTCCTTCTTGCTTTCTGTGAATTGCTTGCTTTGGAGGAAGCCAGCTGCCCCATTGTGAAACCACCCTCATGGAGGAACCCATGTGAGCGAGCTAGGAAGTGGATCTTCTGAGGGCTGCCAGAAGCCACATGAGTGACCTTGCAAATGGAACATCTCAATCAAGCATCAAGATGACTATGGTTTTGGTCAACAGTTGATTGCTGCCTCAGGAGGGACCTTGAACCAAAGACATGCAGCTCAGCTACCCCCAAATTGCTGACCCACAGAAACTACAAATTAATCCCATTTGTTGTATGATACTCAGCCTCTAAGTTCTGGGGGTAATTGTTACACAGCATTAGATAACTGATATGACCCAGTCGCCAGTTGAAGGACACTTCACTTCCAGTCTTAGGTGATTATGAGTAAAGGCACCATAAGCATTTGCACACAGGTGTTTGTGTGGACAGCGTTTTCATTTCTCTTGGGTAAATAGCCAGCAGCCGGATTGCTGGCTCATAAGGAAAGAGTATGTTGACCTTTACAAGAAACTGCCAACTTAAACCTGTTTCTTGATACTTTCATCAATGTTGGAAAATTCTCTAACATTTCTCACCAAATCTTTTCTCTGGCTCACATACTCTCTCTTCTTTCTCTAGGATTCCAAGAATACTTTTCCCTGTATCTTTTATGCCTCTAAAGCATTTTCTGGAATTTCCATTCTTCTCTTTTGCTTCTTTGTGTCTCATTCTGGATATTTTCTGATTTATCCTGCACTTCTCCCATTTTTTCAAATGACTGTCTAATTAACTTTAAACTCATCCTCTATTGTACTTAATTTTATGACTGCATTCTTCAATTTCAGAATTTCCATTTGACACGTTTTTATGGTTTCCCATTTCTGCTGAGATTTTCATTCTTTTATCTCCTTGGGCATAGTAAACATACTTATTTTAAAGTACGTGCTTTTGAATTCCAATCTTTTGAGCCCTCATGGATATAATACAATTGACTGCTATTTCTGCTTGTAATTTTTCATCTTATTTTGTGTCTACACGTGCCTGGTTCTTTTTGACTACGTGTTGAACTTTCTATCTGAAAATGTTTTCTTAGAACATTTTGAAGCCTGGAATGCTGTGGTTGTCCTTCAGGATAGATTAATATCTATATTGAATCTACATCTATATCTCCATCTCTATCTCTGTATATTTCTCCTAGGTACCTGGGGGCCCTGTCAATCCTGGAGGATGTCAGTCCAACTTCAGGGATTGAGATGATTCACAGATGAGCTATGGTTTCTGGTTCTGGACAGCTGATCCTTAGGATGGGTACTTTAAGCCTCACTCCACAATCTTAGCAGACTGTCAGCAGCACAGCCTGGCCTCTCAGCTGCCTTCTGTGGACTAGGCAAGTGTCCTGAACATCCCTCAGAGAAAAGCCTAGAATGTAAGCTTCCTTTCTTGGCTCCCATTGTTTTCGCCACCCTTCTTCAGTCCCTTCTCAGTATTTCAGTGTTTTGATAGTTTTCCAGTGCTTTTAATCACATTAAATAAACAACAACAAAAAAGTGTTTTGTCCAGCTCTTCTGGATATTCTCAGAAGAAGATTGGTCTGAATCTTCCTGGCAGCCATTACCAGAAACCCTGGGCTTCTTTCACCTGTGAGAGAAGTAAGCTATCTGTTTACGCCACTATTCGCCAGTTTTTGGATACACATAGTCAAGCCAGTTTCTAAATGATACATTCATTGATACATTCAAACTAAATACTTAAAGCCAGTGTGGTGTTTACCACGCTTTCAATATTATTTTCCTTCACACTTTTTAGATATAAGAAGAAGATTCTTTTAATTAAAAATATTCTTAGAGCATTCGCCTCCTCCTGCTCAGTATGAATCTGGCTTTATGCTGGTTCCCGCAGACCAAACACCCCAGAAAAATCTCTGAAAGTCAGCTCGCGCCCAACACAAGTTTGATTCTTTAACTTAACCAACAATATGTTGACAACGTGCTCTATAGTGATGTTTCATAGTTTATAGTCCGTTTTCCAATTTTTAAGCCTACTTCATTTTTATGTTTCAAATCCATTCTCCCTACGAAGTTGATACAACCTAAAACTTTTGTCTATTTACTTCTGAGTTTAGAAAGTGCTTACCATTTGAGATGGAATTTCCATTTTCAGCAGTGATGGCACTAGAGAGTGAATTAGATAATTGAATTCCGTGGTTATTTGCATTTCTATCCTGAGTCTCTGATGCAATTCCTGATGTACCAGGATCCTCTCGGGTAGTTAAGTTCATGTTAGTTTCAAAACCTAAAATAAATTTTAGAAAAGATTACTCTTTTCTGATAAAATGTACAGAATAAATTGAATAAAATAGCAGAAGGAAATAGTACAACTTATCAAATTAAATATTAATTACATTTGAAATAATAACAATAGTCCCTAGTCCAGTCTACGGCTTACGAAATATTCACCAAGTTTCGGCACAACGTTGTTAAACATAATAAGAAATACTAAATGGTGATAATTTCATAATTTATTATTTTCAAGCATATCTATACAGAACTTTTGATGTCATTTGACGCCAAATCCTTGTTATTATAACATGGAGAAGGCTATTTCCTAAAACAAATGTGGCAATAAGTTCATGTTTCCGGAGTTTTCTGAATTATTAAATTAAGCAGAGCTGAGGCAATCTTACAGCAACGAAAAAAACTAAGAAATATATTTTCAACATTATTATAAAATGTGTTATTATCGATTTAGGAATGCTAAACTTCAAAACTCTACTTCCACATTCTATATACTAGCAAAATTACCTAAATGCTTACTGCATGTCCCACATTCAGTGCTTTGACATAGAAGAACACAGAAGCCATGGTCCAAATTAAGAGCCAATGAAGATTTTTTAAATTATGTGGAGATTAATAAAGTAAAATGTAATGAACGCTGGGCTTTGGACTATGTCTAATTGAGATTTCTCCATAATTACTGCATTATCCTCAGGCAGGGTCTGCAAGTGACCAGAGTGTGCAAAGCAGGCACAACTGTCCATCCAGTGTCAGGCACAGACCTCTCCACCCCTCCTCCTGCCCCTCCATCTGTGTCAGACTCCCCTCCACCTGAGTCAGGCTCCCCCTCTACCTGAGTCAGGCTCCCCCTCCACCTGAGTCAGGTTCTCCTCCTACCTGAGTCAGGCTCCCCCTCCACCTGAGTCAGGCTCCCCCTCTACCTGAGTCAGGCTCCCCCTCCACCTGAGTCAGGCTCCCCTTCTACCTGAGTCAGGCTCCCCCTCTACCTGAGTCAGGCTCCTCCTCCACCTGAGTCAGGCTCCCCCTCCACCTGAGTCAGGCTCCCCCTCCACCTGAGTCAGGTTCTCCTCCTACCTGAGTCAGGCTCCCCCTCTATTTGAGTCAGGCTCTCTCCCACTGGAGTCAGGTCCCTGCTCAGACTGGCCAGGTGTACTTAGGATTGGCTCTCGCTTCCCTAGGGACCTCAAAAAAGCTCCAAACTCCTGGGGGATTTTGCTCAACGCCAAGGCTCTGCCTGCTGCTTCTGCTCTTGGTCTGTTGGCACAGAGTGGATTCTGGCTGTCTTTAAGTTAAGCCTTTCTGAAGTTTTAGGTTAACAAATATTCAGAAGTGATAATTAGCATAATTTGTTTGATTAGATGTTACATGCAGCAGAACAGTTTATGTCCCTGATCCCAAGTAGGGGAGGAAGGAGGGAGAAGACCAGCTAGCCCTCCAGAGCTTGTCTCCCACAGCTGGTCCTGATGTGAGCCTTTCTAACTCTTCCTCCTGGACATTCTCTCCCTTGAGACTTGCCCTGACACTTACACTCAAATAGCCCTAGAGGCCACAGGCATTTATCTGGATGTTCCATATGGATTTGCGTTTCAGTGCTGTCATGTATGCATTCCTCTGCCTGGAATATCCTGTCCTCTCATGAACGCTGCCTCTTCCTACCCACCGTGGGGATCCCTGTTCAGATCACCTGCATGGCAGTGACCGCTGGTTTAGGAGTAAAGCATACACATCAGAGAGCAGCTGGTCTGGCCAGGCAGGAAGGTGTGCTAGGGTTTAGCAGGAGAAGATGCTGGAGAGATAGAATGAAGGCAAAATGAGCAGGGCTTTGACAACCAGGCAGAAAAGTCATATTGAAATGATTCACTTTGAGCCACTGTAGCTCCTGACTCCTTGCACTTAGAAGACAAGCAGAGCCTCCAGCCAAGCCAGCGCGCGTGAGAGCAGTGGCCACAGTGAGCTCAGGTGACCTTCACCATCCTGCTTCTTGACAAGGAGCAGTCAGCCAACAGGCTGGAACTGAAAGAAGAGCTATTCAGTTTAGTGAACACTATTTGCCTTTTTTCAATCTTCTGGAAATTGGGAAAACAGGTTTGATTTTAAAGCTGTCTAAAGACACAGACAGTCACCTGCTCTTACTTCTTTTAAGATGGTTTTTTAATTCTTTAATCCAGTTGTTAATTGAGTGCCTATTATGTGCCAGACACTCTCCAGGGGCGGGAGGTACAATAACCAATACAAGGGCCAGGCAGCTTGGAGCCAACCTCTCGGGAACATGATCGACAACAGAGAACAAGCAGATGACTGGAAGAGGGAGCCTGCCAGCTGGGTGGGCAGTGGGGCTGGGCAACCGAGGTTTTCAGGCAGTGTGGGGCAAGGAAACATCCAGGGGGGTTGCATTTGGCTTCAGAGAAGAAGGAGGGAAAGAAGCGGCTGTGTAGGAAGAGACCTCCCCACATGTGTGAAGGCCCCTAAGCAGGAAAGGGCTCACCCTTTTCAAGGAGCCAGGTAGTAACGTCCTAATGAGTCGGGCACGTGGAAGCAGAGGGCAGGTGAGAAAGGGCAGCGGGCATATTGCCCAGGGCAGGGAGGGAGGCCACTGGACAGGAGGTGAGGTTTTGTTTTCAGTGCAATGGGAGGTACCAAAGGGTATGAGGTGAGAAGTGCCATGCTGGGTAGACGGGGACAGTCCTCTTCCGTCTGCTGGTGCAAGACTCAATCCTGAGACACTTGTTGACTCTTGGTACGAATATTTGATGCTAGCTTCCCTCATAACTGATTTCTCTCTCTTAAACAATTGACGCATTTAAATTATAGTCAAAACCTCCAACTTTGCTCTTGAAATTTATAAAGTATTTTCATATTTCCAATCAGCAGGTTAAATTATAGCCAAGAAATGTTTTTAGATTTGTCATATAAATAAGGCTGTGATCCTTACATTATCCACTAAAATTTTCTCTATCCTTTTATCTTAAAAGCATATGTCTACTCAAGGATGGCTCTGGATTGGAATAAGGGAATAAGACCTTCTTAACATAAGACTTAAGAATTAATGGCCAACCTAATGATAATTATTCACATTGCTCTTATAACAATTACCATCTCCTTAGTGTTTATTACTCGCCAGTCTCCCACTAGATGTGGGACTTGTCTTAGCCCTTGTTTTCACAACAATTCCGAATAGTTGTCACTATTACGCCTATTTTCGAGATGAGGTCATTGAGGCTCGGGAAGGTTAATCTATGTGCAAACATTTCACGATGAGTCAGTGTTGCAGCTCGATCCAGACTGAAGCACATAGCACTCCACTGTCCACCCACACTCATTCCTACACTTGGCCCGTCTGTGTAAAGTCTGCCCTCCTTGGTGCATTGGCTGATGTAAAGCATAAGGCAGCTTCTTTTCTGTGGCTTTATTTGATCATCTATGCCTTTGTGGTAAGGAATTGGGAGCTGTAGGTTGAAAACTGTACCCTAGACACTGAAACAGAGTTGTGAAATCAATGTTGGTGTCCTCACTTTGGAGTTACCCTTATTCATGACTATTACCAAGGGGGTTCTTGGCTTACTAAATTCTGTGTCAGCCTCTGCTCATAAACGCCCTTACTCCAAGTTAAATCCAAACACGTAAAAGCATCTGTGCCCCAACTTGTTAATTTCCCTATTCAGCCACAATGACTGTCAACTGCAGAAACTCAATAATCTGATTTTGCTGTAAAGTGTCAGGTTAGTGCACAAACGGTTGCAACGTCCCTCGTCAAAATACACCCATTATCCTGTTGGTGGGCACTGAAGGAATCACAACAATAAAAAATCAAGTGGACACTGGCATTAAGTTTGGAGATGTCTTAGTTATAAAAGTGCATGTACAAGAGGCATGCTTTATGGAGACTTTTCAAAGGAACAGTACAGGGCAAATAAAATATCAAGCCCGTTCATGCCTCCAAGCAGTGGCCATCAGTATTTTGAAGGCAAAGAAAAGTCAGTCACACCAAAAGAAAATATTTGAGACTCTCAATGAATCAAAGCAAACAAGTAGAGAAGTGAGTACTGCGAAATCCTGAACAATGATTCAAGGTGTGTCTGCGTCATTCTGTATCTCCTCATCTTGTGAAATCAGTGGTTTGTGTAGCTCGTGGCATCCTCTGGTTGGGCGCTTCCTAATCCTAGTTGAGTCAAATACCCATGATGTTTTCCTTTAGCCTGTAAATGGGATTTCTCTGTGACCCCAGCCTGGTGCTGTTTTTACAGGTACAGGAGAAATGAATCACAACGAATCTGACTCAAAGATAAAGTCTTGGCCTTTACGTGAGGCTATGATTATCAAACACAAGTATGCAGTATAGGCACATTTAAGCTGAATCTTAGTCTAGTGAGAGAGTTCTAGCAAATCTCTAAATGTGAATATAAGAAAAAGAAAAAATCCTGCGTTAGTTTTGATATATCGAAAATATCACATCAGGTGGGTGTGATCCTCTGAAAGCCGGTTTTCAATAGAAGGGGACATTGCCCATCAGGGGACATTTGGCAACATCTAGAGACACTTTTGGTTGTCGCACTGGGGAAGGGGGGGCCACGGGCATCTAGCCAGCGGAGGTCATGGATGCTGCAAAACACCCTGCAGGGCACGGGACAGCCCCCCACGGCGAAGAACCATCTGGCCCTGAATGTCAATAGCGCTGAGGTTGAGAACTCTGCTTTTTTAATTGAAGAATAATTGACATACAACATCCTATTGGTTTCAGGCGTACATAAGCTGGGTCAGATCATGCCATTTTTCCACTTAAGGCTCTTTACTCCTTTCTTATTTTGTTCATATTAAGGTCCCAAGGCTTCCAGAGGTTGAGACACCCTCCATGACCTGCCTCCCTGCTGGTCTTCCTCATTTCCAACTGCCCCCTTGCCACAGGCCGCCCCTGCATCCTTCTGCCGGGGAGAGCACAGGGTTCCTGCATCTTGTCCAGGCTTCGCTCAAACCTCCCCTCTCAGAAAGGGCCCACCTTCT